AAAAACAATAAAAAATTATACTTCAGAAGTTAATTTAGTATCAAAAACGTAAAATATTTGAGTAGCCCAAGACATAGCCAAAGATTGCAGCGCCACAGCACTGGCGAAAATTTAAATTTGCAGACTGGAATTCTTTCGGATAATCGACGCTCTACTGTATATATAATATAGTCTACACATGAATTTTCTCATCAATATACATGTTGTCTGTAAAGTTACTGTGTAGTGAGAAATTTGTAGTGACATTAAAGTTGTATGTGGTATTTGCATATGAATTGTATGTGATACCACATATAACTTTAATAGGTCAGTATTAGACCTGTAAAGGAATTATTTCTAAATTTGATTATAAATTAGTCTAGTTAACCAAACAAACATATATTAAATTTGTTGTTGTTAGGAAATTCTAAATTTATGCATTTGTGAAAATCTTCTTTCAGGCACCATATTTGATTTACGTAGAAGTGGTAGCTGTTGAAAACATGCAAGTAGCTGTCGTACCTCCAAAAATAATCAATACTCTGAGACAGACTCGTTCAGAAGAAAATCTACCTGATTATTTTGTGCAGCATGAACTTTCTAATGTATCTTTTAATATTTATCCCATTTTGGATGATGATGCTGAATGCTGGACTCATGATGATGACGATATTTCAATGCAGGTATATAAAATTACATTGATTTGTATTAATTGTTTTATCTGAGTTTACTGTAATATGAAAAATATATTTCTTTCTTTAGTATGTAGCGTGTCATAGATCTCTTGACAGAGATACTCTTTCTCAGCATTCACAAGACAGTGGTACGAGTGCAGATAGCAGAGAACCTGTGTTTGTTGCTGCTGGTGAAATAAGACGGAGACTTTCTGAAAGTATGAATATTCCAAAAACGACTTTTAAGGTTCGAACAACTGAGATTTTGATGGTTATTTTTTTTATTTAATTGTATCTGTTAGAAATAAGTACTTGTTTATTTTTTAGAGAGATCCAGAAGATCCATCAGCTGCCGCACTGAAAGAACCTTGGGATGAAAAAGTGAGAAGAATTCAAGAATCATCTCCCTACGGACATCTTCCAAACTGGCATTTGTTGGCAACCATTGTCAAGTGTGGAGACGATTTACGGCAGGAACTCATGGCCTATCAGTTATTAGCAACCTTACAAGTATGTCGAATTATAAATATTTGTTTAAGAATAATCAAGTATTGATTAATTTTCAATTTGTAATCTGTTATTTATCAGGATATATGGGAAAAAGAACACATTCCACTTTGGGTTCGTCCTTACAGAATTCTAGTGACTTCAGCTGACAGTGGCCTGATTGAACCAATATTGAATACCGTCTCTCTTCACCAAGTGAAAAAACACAGCAAGATGTCACTTTTGGAATACTTTTTGCAGGAATTTGGTGCCTTTAATAGTGAAGAATTTCTTTCTGCCCAACGTAATTTTGTCCAAAGCTGTGCTGCATATTGTCTTATCTCTTATTTAATTCAAGTAAAAGATAGGTAGGTAAACATTAAATAAAAAATACTGTTTGTATTGAATGTTGCTTAACAAGTCTTGTTAATTTAGACACAATGGAAATATTCTGCTGGATTCCGAGGGACATATCATTCACATTGATTTTGGATTTATTCTTTCATCATCTCCTAAAAATTTAGGTTTTGAGAACTCTCCATTTAAACTCACTCAAGAATTTGTTGATGTAAGGCATACATTTTTATTTTTGTATTTAATATTTTAAAAAATATTATAACTAATTAAAGTTTTTGTTTTTGTACAGGTCATGGGAGGACTTGGCAGCGATATGTTTGAATATTTTAAAATACTTATGTTGCAAGGTTTGGTCTCTGCCCGTAAACATAATGAAAGGATATTGAGCTTAGTGGAGATAATGCAGTCCAGTTCTCAGTTACCATGCTTTAAAAATGCAGCTAGTGCAGTACGAGCGCTGAAGGACCGGTTTCACATGGGATTAACGGAAGAACAGTTGCAGTTATTAGTCGACAGTATGGTAGAATCTAGCATGCACTCACTCACCACCAAACTATACGACGGATTTCAATATCTGACTAATGGAATTCTCTGAACGCAGAAACAGCTTTTATTGAACATTATAGTAATTTTTCCGAGAAAAAGTACTTTCCATTATCATAAACTTGGCGAATGGTTATCATCCAGTGTCTTACATGTAGAAAGATTTTCATTTCTTTGTGATCTAACGTACCGAACACCTTCGACTTCCAAATCTGCCAATTATACACATTGTTACTGTATAGTCGACATTCATATCATTTCTTTTGCCATTTCACTGCATCGAAATTCTGCAGAAAGTGTTTCTATTGAGCTGCTTTGTTACTTGGAGTATAATCAAAAAATATATATATTTGAATTCCATCCACTGTTGCAATTTTATGCTCACTTGTTGGTGCAAAAGTTTGTACATTGTCTAGTGCATTCCAGCGGAATAATGTTTTAGTATCTGTCTGGTACGTGTAGCGGGTGCTATATTATGAAAGATTCAAGTCTGATTTTTATATTAAGTCTTCAAAAGTGAGACAGCCATAAACAATTTATTAAATTGTATATCCAGATGCAAACTTTTATTTATACGTCATAACATCTAGGGACGAGGACTTAACAAAGCCGCAAAAAACTCCAAACGTTCATGCATTTGCCGGACGGTCACCAACTAGAAACATTCAAACAGTGCAGAGCATGAAACATCATGTACAAAAGAAAATCACCGTCATCTCACTGTAACCCAATTTCTTAACTGAGCAGCCGAAATTCAGAAGAAATGGATACGATTGCCTTACCGTTTTGCCGACCGGGAAACTGTATTTCTTTTATATTTGGATTCAATATTAGTTACCACACCAGAATTTGATCATGCGAATATGTCTAGGCTGTAACTACTTAACTTTTAGTTTAAATTTATTCGCACATTGTATGAGTTTGTTAATAATTTTTTCCATATATTCCACTTTAAGAGTACTTTTACTTTGTTGCTGATTGGTGAATGTTTTCGATAATCGTTGTTTTTTTTATAATTATTTCCTACATTTATGTATACTACGTAACTCTGACTTGTAAGAAAAGCAGTGTTTTGGAGATGGGAAAATGACATTAATAATGTAAATACCTGTACTTTTTAAGAACATTAATAAAGCTTTGTCCTGCTTCCTTAAACGGAATTTATTAAAAATAGTTTAATGATAATTTGTAATGTCTTTGTCAAAGAATGCTTGAAATTACTCCAATTTGGAATCTGAATGAGCTTATTTGAACTTTTAAATTTTATTTTAACTGTGCAGGAAATAAGGAACAAGTCTAATTGTGATCAAGAATTGCAGCTTTAGGAAGCGAGTATCCTTCATATATATATGTTGTTTGTTCTTGTCTATAATCATCATCATCTGTATGTCATTTTCATCATTCTCATCAATGGCTCAATGGCTTGCAGATTTTCCACATACAAAGAAATCTGGATTCAAATCCACTTGGATTGTGCTTTTTTTTTAAGATTAAGGTCGTCGATTGTTTCCCATCTCTTCTGAACCTGTTATTCATTGTGCTCTTTGTGAATTTCTATTGGAATTTAAGTTGTACTTTCTTGTGACTTTTTATTCCATTTTGTAACAAGACACAAGTGAAAATTGCACTGGTTTTATTTAACTCTTGTTTCATATTCAAATATTGTTAAATTAGTTATAAACAAAGGAACAATCAACTAAGATTGATGTCTCGCTTATTCTGGACATTCAGCTAAAGCTGCGAGATTGTTGCTTACAAAATGTAATTATCAAGTTGTAGTTTCTGTAAATTGCTTTGATCTATAAAGAATATTGGGAACAACAAACAAAAATTATCATCATTTATTATAGCTTTACAACACTGTAGTAGAAATCTATTCAGACTCTTGCAAACTTTTTGCATGTGCAAGATCTAATCTGAGGAACTTGGTGTATGCATTAAACTCTTCAAATTCAATCTTGTTTTTGGAAAAAAGAATGCAGCATTCCTTCCTTGCTAAAATAAGTTAGCTGATTGTTACTGGATTGTTTGTCCTGAATGTAATTGTTGACTAGATGACTGTACAGTAAAGTATCAGTCTACCATTGTAGGATTTGGGCTCAGATCTTGTCCAGAGTTTAACATGAGTAACGTGGATGTCTGTCATCCATTCAGGATGATCATTAAAGATCCATCCCACTCAAAAGACAATATTACTACTTTTTATGTAGCAAGGGTGACCAAACTTTGTTACAGTAGGAACCATATACCATGTATCAGAAATACAGGAGCAATATTGGAATAGTATTTTACAAGGGGAGTCCAATATTAAAGGTACAGGCCAAAATTACACTAACATTTATAATTAAAAAAAAATTTAATACATTCCACAAAAACTACATACATTTGTTTATCTCTCAACATAATCTCTATAAACGTTGAGACATTTATCCCAGTGTGACACTAGTTTGAACATCCTTTCACAGCGCTGTTGCTTGAAGTAGTCCAGAACAGTGTCTTCCAATTCCTCCTGATCTGCAAAGCATTCCCTACCGAAAATTTCTTTAAAGGTCCAAATAAAAGAAAATCCAAGGGGACTATACTCTACGTGTCAAATCAAACCAAACTATGCTTGGCACAGCAGAATTGAGAGGTCCCTCAACTTCCTCGATATAGTCCAAATTTAGTCCCCATTGGATTTTCATTTATTTGGACCTTTAAAGAAATTTTTGGTAGAGGAATGCTTTGCAGATCAGGAAGAATTGGAAGACACGATTCTGGACTACTTCAAAACAACTTAACAAGCAACAGTACTGTGAAGGGGTGTTCAAACTATTGTCATACTGGGATAAATGTCTCAACATTTACAGTGATTATGTTGAGAAATAAACAAAAGTGTGCGGTTTTTGTGGAATGTATTAAATATTTTTTTTAATTATAAATGTTAGTGTAATTTTGGCTTGTACCTTTAATATCGGACTCCCCTCGTATATATAACCTACTGATATATATATATACATATACAGTGGGTGATCGGTTAACGAACATAATCCGTTCCAAGACTTTGTTCGCTATCCGAATTGTTCGTTAACCGATTATCGATTTACCATAGGTTTCTATGGGAATTTGATTAATTCGTTCTGGAGACCTCCCCAAAATAAAGAAAGTATATACTTTTTTACTACGTTTATTCATATGTAATAATAAAAATACATATATACACGGTCTTGCATTTTTATTAGTCATGTTTTTTCTGTTTGTGGGGGTTAAAGAATCTATCCAATGTCGATTGCTTTTCTGTCTTATTCATGATTTTTCAGAAGTAATTAATAGCATTGTAATTGTAGAGATCCCTAGGACTATTAACCTCAACTTGGTTTGGATGCCATTTTAAGACCGTTGTTCTGACATCTTCCTACTTCTTCAAAAGATCTTTAATAGCGGATATCGGCATAAATCCGTATTTTCAGAAGAAAACGTAAAGGAATTGTTTCTGTCAGAAATACAAAAGGCTGGAATTACAAGGGA